AATCTAGTACATAACAATGCCGTAAATAACAATACCGTACATAGTACCCCGGACAGGTTGTATGATGCAGTCATTTTTTTACTCTACATTTGCAGTAGAACAACCATTCTTATTGAAATTTTCATATTTTATTCTGGAGACAATTTCCAACATGGAAAAAATTTTTTTTAAAGAAATTCCTAATTTTATGATTTTGATAGGCTTATTCAAAAACACTCCACTGTCAATAAAATACAGGTTTTTGCTTGAACAATTGAACTTTTAACGTCATTTCAAAGATTGTCTAGCTATTGAATGTTTGACAGCCTAAAGTCTTTCCAGATGTATTTGGTGCCATATTAATTATGGCTGATTATTGTTTTTCATTTCTGTCATATTCAATAGGCCTTATATTATTACAGTGCATTAGGCCATTGAAAAACTTGGGTCACGTTTTCTCTGAAAATGCAAATTTTTCTCCACTGGGTTTTTCCACCACCGTCACTCAGCATGCAAGCCCGTGGCACGTAAATTGTACCATGCTTTTAAAATGTCAGGTCCCCTGACAATTTCATGATAAAATTTGACACAGCTGTATTAACATCTCTGAAGGATCTAATGCCAAGAATAGTTCAAATAGGAGATTTGTAATGTTTTACTTCATTTTGGACTGTATTGAACAGTGACCGGGTTGAACTCATGTCCGTGGACAAGAAGATTGACCTCCTCTATCTGGGCTCAATCTAGGGAACGCTTCACAAAACGAGACCCACAGCAACAAGTTTTTATTGGCCTAATGCACCGTAATAATATTGAATATGACTCAAGTGAATAACAATAATCAGCCATAATTATTAATATGGCAACAGATCTATCTTGAAAGACTTTAGGTAGCCGGAAATTCAATAGCCAGACAATATTTGAAATGACGTTAAAAGTTCAATTGTTCAAGCAAAAACCTGTGTTTTATTGACAGTGTAGTGTTTTTGAAAAAAAGCCCGTCAAAATCATAAAATTGGAAATTTTGATTAAATATTTATTTTCCATGTTGGAAATTGTCTCTAGAATAAATCTTGAAAATTTCAATAAGAATGGTTGTTCTATTGCAAATATAGAGTAAAAAAACAACTGCATCATACAACCTGTCCGGGGTACTAACAATATTGCTTATAAATCCGTGTATGCTAAAAACAAAGCATTTAAGAATCGATTCTAAATGTGCTATACGATGCTTATTATTATGTCGCTTTTATTCCCATAATAAAATGGATTAAGCATGTAAACATAAATCAATCAAACAATACAACAATAACCAAAACATATACAACATTTATACACGTAATAAACAAAGAACAAAATATAACAAAACAAATAACAACAAAAGTTTACAAAGTTAAAAGCAAGTAAAAATTGCACCTCTGGGGTTTTAATTGCACGTCATAACTCAACGGTTATAGCTTATTGGAACGGTGTGTTTAATTCTACATTAGAGTTTTTAATTATATTGCTAAAGTAAGGCAACACTATGTTTATCGTTTTCAAATTAACACAGTCGCTAAAACAAGAAAGGCCTTTCACTGACACTGGAAGAGGGGTTTTGACGAATTCTCTGAGAAAAATCCCAGCTTCAGACTGACCTATAGCCACAGTGATTCTATTCAGCATATTGTTTCGTTCTGGAGCCGTTTCCGTGCACATTGCTGCTCTGTGAGAGATAATGTCTCCCTCTAGTGCTCCACAATATTCACAAAGCTCAGGTTTATTTGGGTCAAGTGGAATAATTAGAAACTTTGCTATGACAGTTGCATATTTAAGAAGATCGGGAATCTTTCTTGAGTACAGCCATAGTTGGTTTGGTTCTAGATTGTTTTGTATTTGTCTTAATCTAGTAAAGCTATGATCATTTTCCGTTCGTGATTTCCATTCGTCATTTTGATGAGAATTTATGGCAAATTTGACGATACGTTTCCATATGTGTTTTGGAGGGAAATACCCTGTATCAATGTATTGATTTAATGACTCGATTTCATATTTAGCTAATATCCTTTGTATTTCTGGAATAAAACCACGTTGTGAATTTGAGGTCTCATTATGATGGAGTCTCATTAAAAAAATCTGTTTTGACAATTTAGCGTTATCTAGATGAACCAATCGTCCTAGAAATTGTAATTTCCTCATCTCAACCATAGATTCCATCGTATTAATACCAAGCATTCCCAGACAAATATCAGTTCGAGTCCATTTGACTTGGTCCTGTAAAGCTTTTGTAATAAATCGTTCTGCCTTCTCGAGTGTAACGCATGTGCGTTCGTGATATTGGTCCATAGTTCTGACCCATACAAAGCTGCAGGAATACAAATACATTTTAAAAGTTTAAGGCCTGTGAGTGGGTTCAGCCATCGGGGGTGCGTCCCTGCTCCTACGAGTGATGCAAAAGTGCTTCTTAAAGACTGACACGCTGCATTAATTTTGACATCTGATGAAAGAGAATGGCTATACATATTACCTAAATGCTTAATTTCATCAACTTCCTGAAGTTCCTGTCCATTGGTTGTTCCCCATCTTCTTTGTAACTTACATTGAGGATGCAATCGTCGTGATTCGCCGATTGTCATAACTACACTCTTCTGTAGGTTGTATTGATATCTCCACTTATTAGAATAATTAATAGCAACATCAATGAGATATTGTAGGTTGGACTTAGTTGTCGCAATAATGGTTAAATCATCAGCCAGTGTCGGGCATCCCGTTTCTAACGTCCCTATAGATGCAGTTTGGTGTGTTTGTTGGAGTTCAGTGAGTAGATCATCTATGAATACCAGGTACGTCCAGCCAGACAGGACTCCGCCCTGCCTTATAGATTGATGGAGTGGGAACCAGTCCGAATTGAAACCACCGAATCGTATTTTGGCCCTCATCTGACGAAAAAGCTGATAAAATATATTAAAAAGTCTTCCAGTTATTCCAGCATTGTGGAGCTTCCAGAGAAGAGCATTGTGACATACCGTATCAAAAGCACGTTTCGTGTCAAGACATGCAACGTATACTTTGCTCCCTAATTCAAGGTTATGGTATAGAGTTTCGGTGAGGTTAAAGCTACAAGTTATGCTGCAAAGCTGTTCTTGATACGCATTCTGCTGGTTGCTCTTCAGGATTGGCTTCCCTACCCTTTCCTCAAATTCCTGTATTCTCTGCTTTTTAACTCGTTCCCATAATTTCTCTATGACAGGTAAGAGAGTTATGTCTCTGTAATTCTCAGTGCTTGAACGGCTTTTACCCCCGCCCTTAAAAAGCTTAGAAATGACCCCATCGTTAAAAGCAGAAGGTCTTTTCAAAGTCACAGTTATCATGTTATAAAGTTCTGCGAGCGTTTTAAATAAAACATGGCCACCATATATTATGTGTTCATTTGTTAGTTTGTCAATGCCACCAGCCTTCTGTTTTTTAAGTGATTTGGCTATTAATTCTATGTCACCATGTGTAACTGGCGTGTGAAGAATAGGATCTTCAAAGGGGACCGGTTCATTTAAGTAAGTAGTGACGTCATGTTTTATTTTACGATAAAAATCTTTATCAAACTGGTCTGACTTTAATTCACTGAAAATACGTTCAGAATATATTTTAAATTCATTTGCTATTTCTTGCGGCTTACGTGTAATTGTTCCATCTTCACGGAGAAGTTCTTCACATGTTGCGACAGAGCGTTGGCGTCGACGTTTCATTATGGACCACATCAGTTTTTTGTTGGTTTCGTCAGCAGTGTCGATTTCAGCGTATACGGATTCCACCCACATTTCTTCTAATCTATGCTGTTCCTTTCTAAACAGAGTCTTGGCTGATTTGTAGGCGCTATACGAAGCATGATCCATTCCTCTAGGTCGTCCTGCACATAGCCAAATCCAACGAAGTCGCTTTTGCTCACGATGTAATGCTTTGAGCTCAGAATTCCAGTATGGCTTAAGAAAAGGTCGACATTTCTTTACGGGGATATGTTCCTTAGATGCTAATGACATCTTTAGAACAATTTCATCATTAAGGTGGGACGTGTCAGTGAAAAGACCTTTCTTTGCTTTGTCAAGAGTATCCTGCAATGAGAGTGTTAAACTATTAGTATACCCATTTTGAATTTGACTAATACTTAATTTGTTCCAGGCTAAAGCAGACTCAATTGTTACTTTTTCCCTTGACATGTTTCCAGCATTAATAGTTAAAAACAAACTTAAGTGATCAGAAAACAACTGATTGGAACTTTCAATAATTCTACAAGAATGCACTAAATCAATTTTAGAGTTATTTAAGCATATGTGATCAATAAGCGAAGGAGGGCTCTGGTTTCTTGGAATGCAAGAAAATTTAGGTCCTTTACACCTATCGAGTGTTGTCATCGAGCAGAAACCCTTATCAGATAACATATCATTTAACATTACGCTTTGTGTATTCAGATTATGCTTTGTCCATCTTGGGCCATTCACATGTGCGTTCAGATCGCCTAAAACAACAACAGTGCCTAAATTAGAGTAATAGGTTATGCAATCAGTTAAATGATCTAGATAGTCTTTATAAACAGTCGGTGGATAATTTGCTGATGGTAAGTATACACTTAGAAAATACATAGATGTATTATTGTTCAGCACAAATTCTATGCCAACAATACGATCACTATCAATATGATTCAGACGATTTATGTTGTTACCAATGGATTTTTTCCACAGAATCGCAACACCACCCTTGCCTATTCTGCATGAACGGAACGGATCAAGAGTAGCATCAGCTCTGGCAAAAGAATCATACTTTTCATTAATTGAATTCAGAAAATACATGTTATCTTGGAACAATTTATGCTCCGATATTGCACAGATGTCGATATGAAATTTGACCAAACATTCATCAAGGTGAAGAGCACTAGTCATGATACCGTTCGTGTTCCATGCAAATATATTAAGGTGATCCTTGTTCATATGTGACATAATGAAGTACAAAAGTATCACTAGTATTTGGATCAACTTATTCATAGAATTCATGTTCGTTTTGCTGATAATTATACCCATACTCATCTTGGTATCTAGTGTTTGATAACCAATGTCGACAACGTATTCCGTGAGGCCAAAAATCTCCGTCTAATAGTTTTTTAGCATCTTTAATTTGTACATTAACCTTGGCTGTTTTCATGTAAGGATTCTTAGTGTTAAGAATGCGAAGTAAAGTAACACTTATGTTCTTGTTTATAAGATAGTCTTTAATCTTTTGTTCTGTGACATTTGGTGAGATTCTGCTTATATGGAAGCTTTTCGTGCGCCTTTGTGTCACAGCTGTGAACTCAACGTCATCAGTAGTTTCTAGGTGTGATACTCGTTCAATGGGCGGGACATTTGAGGAAATGTGTTTTGGCGATGTTTGGATTTTACTGCAGGGAGTATCCTTTGTGTTCGGTTGTGGCGATTCAGTATCCAGCCTTTCGTTGTGAGGATGGGTTTTTGTAGTTGAGGTTGGCTTCTGTTTTGTAGATGGTTTTAAAGCTACTTCTCGATAAGTCGGCGATGTAGAATTTGTCTTGTTTTCGTTGGGTACTGACGAGGTTGGTCCCCAAATTGACTTGATTGCACCAGGTTGCTGTTGTTGACTCGATGACGAAATTGAAAAAGCATCCTTTGTTTTTGATACAGCAAGAAGACTTACGGTGTTTTTAAGTGCATTAAGGTCGTTTGTCATGTTCACTATTTTGAAGTCGATTTCTTTGGTCCCAGATGCTAATGTGTCATGAGTTATCTTTTGAGATTTTTCTAGGTACTTCGTTTGATGCTCATCAGTTTCAAGTCGCTTTGTTAATGTTTGGATTAATTTATCAAAGGAGTTTACCTTATTGGTACATGCAGCAATGTTAGCTTCCATTTTATGTATGGATTCCTGTATCATCGTGAGCTTTGCATTGTATTCTGCTCGAGTTATGTCTGTTTGGCGGCTGTCACTCAAAATACGTTGGCTGTGTCTTGGCGCTTCGGTATTCGAATTCCTGGGTGAGTTGTTGGATCGTCTAAACATAAACGCTAATTCACTCGGTGGCTCACCGTTAATAAAAGAGTATAGCATGTAGCAATCATTGGCTAATTTGACATCCCTCGACTGTTTCCTTCCACCCACCCGTTGGATTATTTCGCCATGCGGGCAATTATGCAATTCTCTGGCTTTAGATTCTAAATGGTCCCTGTAGAATTGAACGCTACAGCCAGTTTGAAAACAGAGATCCAGGAGTTTCTCGGTATATAGATGTTTTGGCAAGTTGACAAGTGCGTTGTCCATGTCTGTTACTGATTGTTGACCGGGTGGGACTTGACTACTGTCATACGATTCAGAATCATTTGAAGCATTGAGGTAATTTTGGGCATTGGAGGACCCATCCGGTGGCTCAGAGGGATGGCGGGTACGATCTGTGTCGTAGTACGTGTTGATGCCCGAGGCAAGGGCATTAGCTAGGTTACTATCAGAATCTGACTCATTCATGTTTATGATAGCACAATATTACTGCCAATCTTCCATCGCTTTCATTGACAAAAATTGTATACGCTAATCCTAAAGTTTGTAACCACGTTGGCACAATTGACCTATTTACTATTATAACAGGGAAAATGTCACCTGATTCCTAAATGTGTTGCCAATATTTGAGACGGTAAATGTTCAGAAAACTCCTCGTTCTTCTGTTTTCATCCAAAATGTATATATCCACCGTGAGCACTACATATTCATAAAGTCATTGACAAATTTCCAGGTTCCAGAGGTACGCCAATCTTGATAAAATTATAAAAATAACAGGAGCTCAAAAAGTGTGACTTTCTCCTATTCACGTGCATTCAAAAAAAAAATTCTTAGATTAGATTCGTAAAATCTAGTACATAACAATGCCGTAAATAACAATACCGTACATAACAATATTGCTTATAAATCCGTGTATGCTAAAAACAAAGCATTTAAAGGGTTCCGATTAGCATCCCGTATAAAAACAATATGGCGGCTCCAGGCGAATCAACTGGATCAGTCCATTTTTAAGAAATAAGGGGAGTTCTGTAAAATCCAGTTTATTGAAATTGTCTTTGAGATAAAGTAATCCCTTTATAATGATTTTGAAAACGTTATCCAAAGAGTGATTGCGTTCAAATTATACATGTACAACAGCCAATATAAATTCTTGGATTAGAAACCGGTTTGTCTTGCTTTGTTTCATTTGTGGGATATTTCATATGCCAAGCTGTGTGCTATTACGGTATGGGGAAATTTAGATGCCAATTTTTCCTTATTATACACAAATAGAAGATCCTGAAACTTCACCCATAAATGTGGAATTGATTTGTCAAAATAAAAATCACTCTTATATAAATGTGTGACGATCTATATTATACTTATGCTATATAACAGTTAGAGGTGTTGACACAACGACCTCGAACCTGTGAACCCTTGAGTATTATTCCGGGATCGGGCCTTTTATACTAAACGGTGAGCAACACCAGAAACGAGCGTTCGATTTGCTAAACGATATGCGTCACCCTTTAAGAATCGATTCTAAATGTGCTATACGATGCTTAGTGACTGTGTTAACATATCAGTGTAGCAAAAATGCCATCAGTTCCAGTACTTTTCTATGATACCAATAACGTACGTATAATCCTTAGCCATACGCTTGAGAAATTGATCATTAATTGATTATATTCTGGAATTTTCTGATTACATTCTCTTAAACAACTTATTTATGTTGTTTGGCATACCAAATGTAAGTATTATGTTATGTAAATTCACAAGATAGTTGGTCATTTTAAGATAGCAATTAATTTGTTGCACCATAGGGGTACTTATTCTTGTTGGCGACACTACTTTAAAGGTCTCCAGAAAGTATACAAAACATTCAAATTCAGTGAAATTTTCACATTACCTTTGTTGTATGCAATATTCAATCAAAATATATGAACGATGCTCTTATCATTGATAATTTGGCATATCATTGATAATGAAAGGAAACATGAGATTCATGATCTGGCGACATTAACGTACACAACGTTTTGGCATATATTTGGGATTTTTAAAAATATGTGCAAATAAATATTCCTGAATATCAAGTGTGGTTAGGTAGACAACAACCCAAACTTCAAAAACAACAAATGAATTTTATTTTTGGACCCGCTGTTAAGGAGATTATAGCCTGTGACACAATTGTACGCTCATATCTGGAATGAGCATATAGCGTTCGGTATTTTATGACCTTATCCAATACGTACTGTAAACCCGTCACCGTATACCCGACGCTTTTACCGATCGGTGCATTTTTACCGGACCCTTTTATCGATCGGTGAAATTCTCCCGTAAATACTGGACGGTCGACCGACGCGACATCTTTTAATGATGGCATGCATTAATACCGTTCGGTGTATTTTTAATGGACGCTTATGGTAGTTCTGTATAGTAGGCCTATAGCTTGATTAGATAGAGTTCGTGTAATCTGAACCAAACGACCGTGGGTCTCATAGATACATTATGATTTCATTTCAATTTTTGAACCTGATTTATTCTGATCAAAATCTTAGAGACCACTTGTACTCGCATAACGAAATGACTACTTGTTGCAATGTGCTGCCATCTTTCAATGAGTGACATTTGAATTATTATTTTATACCTTTCATATATATTGAGGACTGTGGAATGATGTTCCAGTCTTTTATAATATTTTGTTTTATATATATTTCAAAATAGAAAACATTTCCATCATTTTCGTGTTTTTTTTATTATTACTGCTTCTTCAAAGTTTGCAATACAAAATTTTTAATTTGCATTGCTACAATAAGAGCGATTCACAAAACTGTTCACTCCGTTTATTTATTGATATCTACATTATGTATGCACTGGTACCCGCTCGATTACGCTGGTTGCCGAAACGGTCCGTTCCAGTAACAAAATCATGTCGGAACGTCGACGGTACGATTTTCCATTATTTCACGCGTTGTAGGCAGAATCCCCACGACGTTTTTTCTCTCAAACGTGTATCAGTATCAGATGTTTTGGAAAATGGACATGTTTGCGAAAAATAGCTTAGAAGAAAAGAGAATCGTCGATTTAATTTCTCGCTTAAGTTACATAAACGGTTTGGGTTAAAAGTGCAAATCTTACATGTAACCGTTTTTCGAAA